GAAAATTGTCGAAAATTACTTCATCAAACGAGATATCCCAAAAATTAAAGGCAGATTGATCTGTCGACCCTTGAAACTAATTATATTGTAGAGATAGCCTGGGGTGTCATCTCGATTGTATAGTAATATCATAAAGTAAAGATAATCATTCTACTACACGGACAGAATTTTATCTTAAAATGTTTATCCATGAAAATCATGGTAATCGTGGAACAATATAAGAAGAGTTTCTCTGATTAATATTTATCACAATAAAAAATATTAACCGGTACATCGAACATATTTTATATCTTATTGTGGTAAATATTAATCAGAAAAATTCTTATAAAATCCTTCCAATACTATATTGTTTTACGATTATTATGATTTTCAGGGTAATAATTAAATACTGATATAGTAATTATACCGATAGTATAAAAGATTATTTGCAAAATATATTATTGTTCTGTAAAACTATAAAATATTATTGGGTTTGTGACAATTGCAATGAACAATGTTACTCTTGGCAAAATATTTATATATTTTTGTACGGAGAGATAACATTGAGATAATGAAACCTTCATTAGACTTGAAGAATGTAACTGAAAGGAAATCTGTGAGAACAGTCGGAATTTTACTGAGATGAAACAGCTTGGGATACCATCATTTTATCGCGCCTAATTCTTAAACGAAAATTTCCACATGTTTCGAGGACAGTTTGTACATTGTGCGCGAACGAGCCGCCGCGAAGTAAAGTGCCGAAGCGAACGTGTGGCTTTTTGCCAAAGGAGCCTCGCAGATTGCACACCTGTGCGAGCCGAGGAAAGACCTCACCTATCGAGCAACTGGTCTCCATTGACTTTTTCTCCCATCATGCATCTTTCCGCGCACACTTCGACACGCTTACATGCTCTTTTCCTCTCCCTTTTTCTCTTTTCGCGAAATCTGTTCGCAATACCACCCTCTGCGTATTTCACCTTCCTTTATATGCGATTTACAGAGTGTCCCAGATTTATCGTATCGCACGTTAATGGGAGATTCCTGAGGCAATTTGGAGACGATTTTTCCTTAGCGAAAATGTCCAGGCACCAATAATTTTCGAGTTATAAACGCGATTGAAAATAAAAGCTTTTTTGTAAACTAAGCCTTGTAAAAATAAATTATTAACAAAACTACATTTTTTAGTTAATTTCAGGTAAAGTTTACTTTAATATTGAATTTTAATTTAAGGCTTAGTTACAAAAATACATGATTTCAAAAATTGGAAACATTAAAAAAATGATGACCTTTCTCGACATTTTCGCTGAGGAAAAATCGTCTCCAAATCGCCTCAGGAATCTCCTATTAACGTGTGATACGGTAATTCTGGGACACCCTGTATATAAAGTGTGAATTTTTCTCTCATGATCGAATCTGAAATTGCATCTACAAGAAAAGATGACCTTGTTTAGAATATCGATTTATTTTTAACAGGATTCAATCTTGTCTGCTCTCCTCGAACTAAATTAAATTCGATAAAACCAACGCGATTTTAATCTTATACAGTTTTTTTGTCTCTCTTTCACGATGCTTTTAAATTTTATTTTTGTTACAATATCAATTTAAATATGTTCAAAGACATTAGCTAATTATCCTACAATGAATATTCTAATCATGTTTGCGCAGATCACTTGACATATATATATCAGACAAAATATGAAAATTAAAAAATACATACTTTATTTTCGAGTAAAAAATGTGTCAATGAAATTAAAATTTTATTTCCATTATATTGTATATTGTGAAAAAAGTAAAGTATGATATGATATCTGGATCTTTTATTTCATTCTGCGTCACTGCGATATTAAAATGGCTATCAATCCTCCTCGTTTGGATTACACACGTAATCTCTGCAGCGAAATGCGTGTATGATTCTTATTGACCTGATGTCTGTTACGCCCACAGACCGTTCATCGGTCTAAAGTCTAAATATAGCGACGATTTTTCACAATCGAAATGCTGTCACTTCGGACAAGACAACGATTCTGCGAACCTTTTGCGAAATATGTTTTCGCGCGTGCAACTTTATTGTCTAATCGCTTTATATAAACCGACGCGTATAGTTTATTTTAATATTGTCATTAATTCAAAGAATTCAATTAAATTTTTGTTTATAAAAAATATACACACAAATACATGTATAGTTATGTAACTTAAATTAAAACAAGTTACGTAAGTTCAAATTCTTACGTCAATCTGATTTTTGTCAAAGCGAGCTTTCGATAAACTATTTGTCAAATTCCTATAAGAAACGTCGTTTTTCGCGAGAACACGTCGGTTAAAACATTCCGTCTTATTGAATTAACCGCTAATCGATTTCATTCTATATAAATTACGATGTTATTATTAAATGGCGATTATAAGTATTATCGCGGCCGATTAAAATGTGCCATTATTTACACATCGAGACACGTATTCTCGCAAAACAATCCGCCTTGTTCGCCCATGCAAAAATATATAATCTGGCAGTAAATAAATCGAATACCGAGTCTCGCCTCGTAGAATCGAGATCCAACTGTGGACTCCTTCCTCTCTTGTACGTGTTATATACCGTTTCTCTATATAAGCCAACTCAATTACCGGCCCGCGCGGAATCGCGTCAGAGGCGAGAGGAACGCATATATATTGACGCATTTTATGTCTCTGTGTGGTCTGGTTGTCAATGCACCGCGAAATTTAAAATAAGAGAAAGAGAGAGGAGCCCCATGTGGGCTTAAAAATCCGGCCGCGGGCGCCGTTACCGAATCGGGGCCAAGAGAGCAAAAGAATTGAGTCCCTTTAAAATGTACCGGTGCAACTGGCTCTAATTTATGACGTCTTTACGCGTCCTGGTGTTGCGTCGTGGTTCCCCAGATTTTCTCACGCGTGTAATTCCGGTCGGTTTATCGGGATGAAAAGAAGAAGCGAGAGTCGCGCAGTAAGGATAAGGAAAGGAATTTTTCACACAATTCCATTTTTCTTCTTTTTGATGTGAAAACATTGCGATACGGATAAAATATCCGAGTTTTTTTGGTTCTGTTATTTGAAACGATAACGTTTAATTGTCATTTTTAATACAATTTTTATTTGATATAAAATTCTGATTGAAAATATTTTTCTCTGATAAGACTTGTGTCGAATTATAATCAGCTTTGCGCAAGATGGTTTTATGCGTCTAAGAAATTCTATATATAAATATTTCGAGATGGAGGACCATAAGAATATTTAAACATGCAAATTTATTAAGCAGATACTGAGATATAAGTGCACATTTGTCTCTTGGGAATACGTATTTTCTTTCACCTTATCCAGGACGACTGGCAGTCCTAGATGAACCATTACCATTACGCGATAGCCGTGGCACGACCGACTGTGGATTCGTGTTCACAAAATCAATTAAGTAGAATCCAAGAGAAAGAGACGGGGAGAATCCCGCTTTCTTTGATACGATGCCGCTGATCGCCATTCACACCGGACATATCCGTTCTGAGAAGAAAAAAGAAGGAGAGACAGATCTCGGAACGTATCCATTCTCTCTCGCGGAGGCCCTTTGGAGATCCTTATGCAGGGAGAGAAAGAGAGGAGAAGACGAGAAGATACAAAGAGGAGAGTCTTAACGATCTCCTCGGGATCCGGACGACTTTGGGGGCAAATTATCGGCCTACGGCCAATTACCAGGTGGAGGCGCCGATATATAGAAGAGAGCGGTTGCCGGAGAGTTCCGAGAATCGTCCTGGCGGCTAAAAATAAGATCCCACCCGGGAGCGGTGATTATGTTCCGAAAAAGAAGAACCGGGCGAAACGCTCGCTCTCTTCGTGTGTGCAGGTGGCGGTGGGATGAGGCGAGGATGGTACACGATGATATCCGGACGAAGAGAGAGAAAGAGAGGGAACGAGAAGAAAGAGAGTGAGAAAGGCAGGTCCCCTTCTCGTGGTGGATCGTGCGCTGGAGCCTCGGTTAATGAAGTTGTCGGTTGAGGACGTTTACAGGTGGGGCCTACCTGCGTGTGGTCCATTCACTGCTGCAGGACTGGTTAAGAGTTGCTTTACATCTCAACCTGGTGTCCTGGTGTATATATATGCAAGTCGGGAGAGGGAGGACGAAAAGGTGACGCGAGGTATATCGGTATATCCAAATGTGTTCATCTTTTATGTGCAAATATAATATGCACAAAGTCGGTATTTTGGTTTCCCTCGAGTAAAATGGAACTTTTAAAGGCGTCTACCTGAATCGTCCTTTATACGAGCATGAAATCGACCTAAATGAAGGAAGAACTTGAAAATGATAGAGAATGGAGAAATGCGAAGAGATTTCTTGAAAGGTCTACTTGAAAAACCACTCTCGCGTTGATGTGTTTCGGATGCTAAAACTCATTTATTATTTGAGACTCTATAGATACGCGCACCATTGGAGCATTTAATTCAGATCTATTCATCTTTCTTAGAGGACGTGTCTAAGAGAGCGCCATAACTTCATCATTTAACTAAGATATTTTATTTTCGGCGGCGCTTGCCTTTCGTCACTAGAAAGAGAACCAGTTCTTGGAAATCACGGAAGTAAATACAATCATCGATATATCGAAAACACAATGAGAGCAAATAATTTTTAAGGAGTAAATAGTACGATCTTTATAAATGAAGCTCTCTATACATGAAGCTGTCAGCAGCAGGCGTTTAAGTTATAATTGACGTTGTAATTAACGATGTAATTAATGTTGTAATTAAATTGTAATTAACCTCTTTTTGATGTGTCACACTTAAACACAAAGTTTGTAAGCAGCATAAAACGGTTCAGCTTAAACGGACGTAGCGTTTTCATCGATTATTATTATCGCTAAGATTTCAATGTCGAACAAATAAATCACGAAAAATATAATCATTTATTTAAATGTAAGACAAAATTCCTTCGAAGAGAGAGAATGCGATATCTCACCCCATACGTAATTAGACAAAAAAAGAGAGAAAAATCGATCTCGTTAAAGACCGCAGTTTTCTTTTTTCAGATGATGCATCGACAGCAAAACGCCCAATCGTCGTCGTCCAACAACGAGTTCGCGATGTATCCGTCGGCCGCGTATCATTCCTCGTGTTCGACGCTAGTTTCGTCGACGTCGACGCCGTCATCGTCGTCAAGATCGTCGTCCACGACCTGCCCGTTCCTGCTGTCCGTTCTCACATGGTCATTGACATTCCTGCTGATCTCGTCTTGCATCGGCCTAGGTGCGGACGCCGCTACTCTTAACGGCCATCCCTTGGGCAAAAGGTCGTTCTTCGACATTCAGTGCAAGGGCGTATACGACAAGAGTATCTTCGCTCGTCTGGACCGTATCTGCGAAGACTGCTACAACCTGTTCCGGGAACCGCAATTGCACATGCTCTGCAAGTATGTCTTATTATCTACACTACACGATGATGTTTCTGCGAAATGATGGTTGACAGTTGGAATCCGCACGTGCTCTGCTACTGTCTATTGTACTGTTGCTACGTGGCAATTTCAAGTACAATACGAGATGAGTTCCACATTCGTGAGATTGTCCACGTTTGTGTAATATTGCGAATTGCAGATACGTGATAATCTTGAGATGGAAAGAAATTTGAGATAAAGCTACACGAGTTATTTGACTTTGTCAGATGCGAGAGATATTTTTGATTAATGCCTGTGCTTTAAAATTGATTCGAAGAAATAAGTCCGAACAGATAAATGGTCATTTTAATTCGGAACCGAGAAATAAATTGCTAAAAAGTTTCAATGATAAAGAGTGTTGGAATATTAACATTTTGAGCTTATGAAAAAAATTATTGCAATTTTACATGAATACAAAGTTTATGATTCGCCAATCATTTAGTAATATATTTTTGCGACTTAGCACAGCAAATAATCTGACATTTGGCTATTACAAAATTATCATACAAATATTTACGGTTTTATATTTTTAGAGATATAATTAATCGGTAGGCAAACTTTCTATCAGTCTCTATTTTTACTTTGTTAATTCGTAAAATCGATTTGGGACACTTTATCATTTTCTAGAAAAACTTCTTTCATGATTCTAACACAAATAAATTAAATATGTAGATTCTTCAGAACACTCGTCTTTTGTATAAGGTTTATCTCACGGTTTTAAACTCAGAAAATATATCTCGTATAAGCAACGAAATGATTTCGCGAATGACTTCCGCCGTGATTTCTACCTTGAAAAATATCAAGTGGATGCACGGATATACACCTTTGTACACGTGCTCCGCTCTCGGTGCCGCCACACGCGCGCGCGTACACCACACACGTCGGCACGCGTATCGAAATGGAATGAGATTTCTCTTCTATTTATAGCTCGTACGAGCGAATGCCAACGTACATCCGTTGCTACCTGCCGTTTGTGCCGAGCCGCTTAACGGCCGTCGCGTAAGAGCTATTGTACGACAGCGAGCGAGATCACAATGTGAAAAAAAAAAAGAACGAATTCATGTTCTCGCTCGAGTATATTTACGGCATGTAGCGCTATATTTAGGAAATTTACTCTTAAAAAAATCAACGATGACAGAAAGGACGGATGCATCGGTGAATCATCGATTTAAAGAATATTGCCGGATCATTGAATTTTTTTGTCAAATGTATTAAAGTATCTTCTGCATGCATTTTCATTTAATGAAAAATTAATGTTGAAATTTTTAAATACTGTTGATTTTATGAAAAAAATTTAATTAATATGAAAAGAAAATATTAAATTTTTATATTAAATTTGTATAGATATATCTTAAGATGTGTGTATACAATTTTTTAATTATGAAATAATTTTTAACCGATGCATCTATCCTACTCACAAAAGCATTTATTTTCAGTATATTGTCATGATTCGATCGTAAAATAACGATTGGAGTGAATTAATTAAATGTTTTCGATATCACATGTTTCCGGAATCTTTTTTCAGGATTTCCGGTCTGCTGCTTACAAATTTGTGCTACTGTGTTATAATATTATTCACGTATTTTTGTTTCTTTTGACTTTCTGCAGGAAAGAATGTTTCACTACGGACTACTTCAAAGGATGCTTAGACGTCCTGCTACTGACGGACGAGGTCGGAAAGATCCAAATGTGGATCAAGCAACTCCACGGAGCCGATCCGGGGGTTTAGGTAGCCTTTTCTCTTTAGTTTATGATTTTTCCTTTTATGCGCCCCTTTCGTTTCTCCGCTTTTCGCAAATATAAAGAACTAACCGTGTCCGCTTGCTCTTCCACACTATCCTTCCTCATCTGCTCTCGTTCCGACCACTCGTCGGAAGAAAAATGTAAATTCCGATTTGTTTGCATAATCTCCGCGCGAATTAAGTGTAGTATGTCGTGTAATATTTGCAAAGTAAAGTTCGGAAAAATCAGCGCGTTCTTTTTTTATTACACGATACGTAATGACGAGTAAACAGTATGTACAAATTATGAATACATAATTAAACGATTGAGTTTGATTTCGTCACAGTGATGTTTGAATCGAAAATTGTATGTATATAGATGCTTCAAGTAAATAATTGATAATATAAATGGCAATATAAAAACGTAATTAAACATCGAATTAAAAAATTAAAATGTTTAATTAAACAAACTCAAATTCAAACTATTGAGCAAAAGCATTATTAAATGTATTTAGCAATTCAAGAAGGAAATTGAAATGTTGCATAAAAAATAGATATATCGCGATTGATGGAATTTGTACTTATATTCCTTATTTTGATTTTTCATTGTTCCTTTTTGCCATTACTTTCAATTATATTTTTGTTGCATTTTTTAATGCCATCCCCTGGACAAATACTCGCGTGTATTATAATATCTTCGCATCGAGATAATGAGTATGAGAAATTAGGTAATTCTGCGCAATCTTATACTAGCGAGCAATGCTGCAATATAAAAAAAGATGAAATGTCGGAAAGATGCATTGAGAATTTATCACAATCAAAACTTTGTGTGCAAACTTTGCATGTTCTTCAAGAATCTCAATAAATCAGAAGTATCATAAAAATTTATAAATTTTGGAAAATTGATACAAAATATAGATGTAATATAATTATTCATATCTATTAATTTAGTATTTAGTTTGACAAAAATGCAGCACTGCTAGCAATATATGGTACATCATCATCATCTCGTACATTCTGATTTCATATTATCCATCTCGACGTGCATTTTTGCTGCGACGACAATTTTGGACATTTTTCGACGGCGAATATATTAGTGAATGTTTTACATTTTGAAGGATTTTTGCATTGGTGTTTTTGCAGCGTCATATTTTTTCAGGATGATTGCAAGATGGCAGATCGACGCAAAAATAATTTTTTCTAGGTGATAACATCTATGATTTTGCAGTTTTTGATATTTTTAAATGTTTTTGCGATTTTTTAAAGCAAAACGATTCGCACTCTACTTGTGGTGTATAAATTTTTTGATATCATGAAATGTAGAGTGCGATCGATACCTTTCCACATACGCACATATCCTGAATGTCCCTACTAATAATTGCTAATTCACAGACCTATTTGTCTCACTCGAAAACATTGTAAATTACGTAATATATATCATATATAAAATTTTCAAATTATTTACGTACTATTTGTCGTAAAATTATAAAAAAATTTTTGTTCTGCCTTTCAAGATTTATAAATAGAGACGTGATCAAGAACACTAAATATATATATATATATATATCGTTGTGAAATCAGTATATAAAGTTGATTAAAAAGTCTGTTGATAATTGAATTAAAAATTAAAATTTATTTTTTTAAAAATGTTATCTGGCTCATAAAATTTAATCGAAACGATTCCCGAATAGGTCCGTGAATGCATATCACACCTGACACCGAGAACATCGGTGATTACTCTGCATCCAACAATAGACTAATCGAGTTTTCTGTTCTCAATCTTTGTCCCCGTCACAGGCAAGACTGCTTCAGCACACAATACTTCACGAGCTGCATCCAAGCGCTGCTGCTTGAGGATGAGATGGAAAAGTTGCTAGAGATGGTCGAGTACCTAGGTCGCAAGTAAACGGGACATAGTCGGAGCAACGACGCGCTGCACCACGAAGGAGAAACACACACAAACACACACATATAAACACACGAACACTTACGTAAGACCGAGAAGATCGACGGAAAACGCGGTGTTCCTGTCTCGAAGGAGGGAAATGAGAGGACCCTGAGCCCGGAATTTTGCAAGATTTAATATCACTTCACCTGTCCACCAGAGAAGAACGTTCGAGGAAGTCCAGATTGTATTGCGTTGGAGAACGAACTTGGAATTTCGAAGAGTTCATTGAAAGATTCCGAAGGAGTTCCTTGTGAAGATCAATCGATGTCTAAACGACATGGAAAACGACGCGGTAATATTTATGACATTCATGAGGATAGAAGATTTGCGAAAGATTCTGATCGCATCTGGAACGTGCGATTCGTCGATTTAATATGTGATTTTAGTGTGAGTAGAAAGCTGAATAGCATTGTCGTACTGTTAAGATCGGCGAGTACTTCGATAAGAGTATAAAATGAGAGAATTCGTGGGAGGGAAGAAAAATTTGGCGATCCTTCGCGATGAGTCGCGTCGTTGCTAGACACGATGAAGAACGAAGTTAAACAATACATATTAAATAACGAGACGCGAGACGGTACGATTGAGTCATACAACAAACAAGCAAATACACATATACACATATAACACAGAGCAAATCCGTACGAATTCTAGTCGACAAAATATCTGCGCTCTCGCGCACCAACGCACTCGTTTTAATTCGATTAATCATTAATTATTAATCGTCGTCATTCATCACTACGTAGTAATAACGGTAGTATTCTATATTATTATTAATATTATTATTATTAATATTCGATTATTATTATGTCACAATTATATTTTTATCGTCATCTTTCATCCGTTCGTTGTTTAGTTAGATTGAACCTTTAGTCGTTTATATAGAGAACGTGCGTGCGATAGACGAAGAGGATATCGATATCTCGCTAAAATTTTAATGTTTTTGTATAAAAAAAATTGCGTAATGCGCAGGTACATTGATAAGATTACTGTAAACGTATAAAAAAATAAAAATTAGCAAGAAATAATCGCGAAATTTTGATCAGAATGAAATGCAAAATCAAATTCTTTTCTAAATATTTTTCTCGAAACAAATATTAATGAAGAATAGAGATCGAAGATCCGCCGGTCGTTCAAACCGACCCCATTATTATTATTATTATTATATTATTATTATTAATATTATTATGTCATATAGTAGAATTATTGTTGTTATTATTGCAATTTATATCGCGATGTCTCCGCCCGGGTGAACGCACTGGCAGCACAATGGAAGAGACACTGGCAATAATATTCAACAATATTCAATTACGTGAGTCGAATATGGATGCATATTGCACGCGTGCACATTCTCAAAAGTTTCGTTCAAGAGAGAGATAGAAAGAGAGATAAAGAGGTCTTCCTGTAATTTGTTTGCCGAACACGTGCGATGTCGCGAATGTTTTTACAGTGGTCTCTTCCTTCGTGACGATTCGGCGACTCGTGGACGGAGCCGATCGCGCATAAAACGCGTAGTATTTATTTATTTTTTCACGTTCTTAAGTTATATAAGCGACCCATAAAACGAAGCAAAAGTATTAGCGCACGTATCTAACCGAGAGAACAGCGGGCGCGGCCTCAAAGCCACGTCCAATTGGATGATTGCCCGAGTGTACGATGTGCGAAACAACCCCGGGGGAAAGTCGATCCGATCAGAGACTACTTATCTTTCACTAAGACAAGACGAGTACAGAAGAATAATTTATATTTTATATATATATATATATATATATATATATATATATATGGAGAATCAGTCCTTCAGAAAAATATCACGTTTCGAGAATATTGGCTAATTGTTAATAGAATTACTAAACTTCGGAGGAGTAATTTTCAAATATTATGAAAAATTCGACGTCGGAAAAAAAGTAGGTAAAATAGTAATTTTATCATTTATAATTTAACTGTAGACAAATCTAGTAAGAATAGATTTTTTAAATTTTATTTTCGGGAGAGAGGAAGAAAGAGAATATAAAAAAAAAAAAAAAAAATTAATTGGACTATGAAATTAAAATTAATCGGTACTATAGCGAGACTAATCTTAGAGTCTGATTTTTCTGTATACGTCTGTTTCGATTTTTTTTAAACGCGCGTCTCATGAAAATCCCGCCGTGCTCTATCATCATCGCCACTCCGACCGAGAGAGAATCACGAACCATTCCAAAATCAGTATTGAAATCATTCCATTCCATCTTTGCGATCTTCAGGTACGGCTTCGGAGACTCGCGCATTTTGAGAGACAAGACTTAGATTTGTATAAATACTCCGTCATCAATTTTATATTCATTTATTTGCATTAATTTTATATTCGTGTGTTGTATATTGCAGAAAAAAGCAAGAAAGATATATTATTTAGCATAAATGAGTTTAAATAACATATCGTGCTTTGCATTTTGTTTATTCGTTTCGCAATCTTTACGTTATTTGTTGAAAATATACAATTCATCGTGAAATTTGTCTTGTATACTCCGAAGTGCTTGGCTCCGAAGTCGACCTGAGCCTCAAGTACACGCATCTGGGAGAATCTTTATTTATGCAACATAAACATATCGTTCGAACGATGCACGCTACTGCGCACAGCAGTATCGACAGGTGTGAATCTTTAAAATTTCGTCATATAATTATTAAATTATGTCATAATTACATGAATATATTTCAAAATTCCCCCCTTTATATGATACTTTCGCGTATTTATCGTAGAAATATTTTTTACATTTTTTCCTACATATATAAATCTCTCATATCGATATAGAAGTATTTATATTTCCATACTTCGACTTTTAGAGTCTTTCCGTAAAGTAAGAGGTTTCCGGGAGGAAGGATCGCGAAGCTCTCGCGAGGAAGGAACGTTGACGCGTAACGAGCGCTTCCCGTTTCGCACCTGTCGATTCGAATATGCATATACAAAGGTTGCAATCACGCGCGCGATTCGTCCTTTGTCGATCCGCGCGCGGGAAAGTCGCGAGCGAGCGTGCGTGCTTGCACGATACGATTTCCTTCTAGTTGTTCTGCTTTTTCCCTTCCGGTACAAGAGGACGCGTAACACGCAACACGTGAGCAGACGATACACTTTAACACGTATTATATCTAGCGAAACACGACTTTCCGGTACAAGAGGACGCGTAACACGCAACACGTGAGCAAACGATACACTTTAACACGTATTATATCTAGCGAAACACGACTTTCGCTAGATAATTTTTCTTTTCTTTTTTTTTGTTCACTTGTAAACGATGACAACGCGCGCGCGCGCGTTTAAATGTTGATTATCTGTATGTACACGTGCGAATTATACAACGATATACACACGGACGTATTAAGATACAGGCAAAATATGTACTGCGTGTACATGCTGGTACACGGCAGTCCGGAAAATATAAAAAAATACTCAACAGGTAAACCGTGTATAGCAATGTATACAAATGTAATTGCTAGGAAAGCAGTAAAAAAACTAATACGAAGAGTAATAAAAAAAATAAAAGTACTATATAATATTATAAAAAAAGCTCGACTAAGAGAGAAGAAAATAGGGGAAGACACGCAACACGTGAGCAGACGATACATTTTTACGAAACACGACTTTCGCTAGATAATTTTTCTTTTCTTTTTTTTTACTTGTAAACGATGACAACGCGCGCGCGCGCGCGCGTTTAGATGTTGATTATCTGTATGTACACGTGCGAATTATACAACGATATACACACGGACGTATTAAGATACAGGCAAAATATGTACTGCGTGTACATGCTGGTACACGGCAGTCCGGAAAATATAAAAAAATACTCATATACACATGTATATTCAGATATACGCATATACGCGCAACTGTTAAATTCGAGCATACGAGAATAAAGATGAGAAAGGGCTGAGGAATCGTATCCTATCCACAATTAATGTAAAATGTAAAAATTAATGTAAAAATTATATATACATATGATATATATACATATGTAAAAATGTGTGTGTATGTATACACGCACATTTCGTATATGCATTGCAAGGGTGCATATATTATATGTATATGTGTACACATCAGTACAATTAATGACACAGACATCTAAGTCTATTCTTGTTTTGCGTGAATAAACGGGTGAATCAAAAGTCATTATTACAGATCTGTATTTTATTGCAAACACCATGTTTACTTTTTTCCTTATAATTAAAATACCTTTTTGTTTGGAGTCCCCAAAAGCTTTCGCCAGAGACTTTATCCTTCCTTTATTTCATTAAACTTAATACATTAGATCTTAAAAATCTAACACGTGTCTAAACTAAATCTAAACGGGTGAATCAAAAGTCATTATTACAGATCTGTATTTTTATTGCAAACACCATGTTTACTTTTTTCCTTATAATTAAAATACCTTTTTGTTTGGAGTCCCCAAAAGCTTTCGCCAGAGACTTTATCCTTCCTTTATTTCATTAAACTTCCCCCATAGCAAAAAACCAGTGATATCACAGTGATATGCTCTGGATGTCATAGCAATGTGCGAATGTCCGCTTTGTCACAATGTAACGTCACAATGATATCATTGTGACATCACACTTTGTGACAAAACAAGTGTAATGTCACAATGATATCATTGTGACAAAGCGGACATTCGCACATCGCTATGACATCCAGAGCATATCACTGTGATATCACTGGTTTTTTGCTATGGGGGTTAATACATTAGATCTTAAAACATGAAACACGACTTGACCTATATAGGTAAGTTCTTATACTTAATTTCGTGGGGGGGAGGGGGGAGGGTTTGTTCGAGTCTGCGTTTCACTATACGATACTTTCGTTTATTTCTCGTAGAAATATTTTTTACATTTTTTCCTACATATATAAATCTCTTGTATCGATACAGAAGTATTTAATATTTCCATACTTCGACTTTTAAAGTCTTTCCGTAAAGTAAGAGGTTTCCGGGAGGAAGGATCGCGAAAGCTCTCGCGAGGAAGGAACGTTAACACGCGTAACGAGCGCTTCCCATTTTGCATCTGTCGATGCGAATATGCATATACAGAAGTTGCAATCACGCGCGATACTGGGGGATCTGGGTGGATTTGAACCTGCGTTAAAACGCCTACTCTTTGCCTCAGGCGAGTTTCGGCGACGCAGCGTTCACGACCACCTCTCTTTTTCTTTATAATTCCTTTCTATTTTATAATTAATTATATTATATATAATTAATAATATTTATAATTGTAATATAATTAAAGATAATTATATTATAAAATTGTATCGTATTTTTAATTAAATATAATTAATTGTATTAGAATTTATTATATTTAATTACAATTAATTTTTTTTTTTAGAATTTATTATAATAATTATTTAATTAATATTAATTAAAATATTTGGCATTTTAATTTTTTTCGTGCCATACATAAATTACTCATATATTTCAATTTTCTACTAGGTTTATTTTATTCTGAAAAATTGTAAACTATTATTTCTCAGATTGTTATCATTGTACGAGTATTTGTAACTTTTCGTTTTTTTTCTTTTTATAATTCCCTTTTCGCTTATAATTAATAATATTTATAATTATAATACAATTCAAAGGTAATATTATAATTAATTATATTTCATTAAATATAATTAATTATTTTAAAATTTATGTACATTATATTTAATTATATTAGAATTCACTAAAATACTTATTGAACTATATTAATTATAGTACATTTTATTTTTTATTCGTATTATATATAAATTTCTCATATACATTTTAAATTTCTATCAAGGGTTCATTATATATTCAAAAAAATTTTTAACTATTATTTCTCAGATTTTTGCTAGTATTTTTCCATTATATACGTACACACACATGTTTACTCTTTATATTGAAATTTCACGACTCACCGTTATCACCCAGATAATAAGGTCAGCCAGGAGTTCCAATGTGCCGCGAAGAAACCGCTGCTGTCTTTTTTTTTATTCGGGTCTTTGAAAATCTAATCTCTTTCAGGCGTTGATATCACGTTATCGATCATGAATTTGGCGCCATTGCAGCGTCGACGAACACTAACCTCTTCACTTGCGGCCGCGAACTTGTTTCGCTCCTTCGGAAATAAGCACGCGACGAAGCGAGCCAAACGAACGAATAAATCGATCGCGAAACTGACGATGCAAAATTGCACTTTCCGCGTACGCGCGATAATAAACTTGCGAAACTCATTTGCATAAAAACACGATAATCGACGCGGATACGGCTCGCTGCGAGTACGAAAAACTTCTGCGTGAAGCTGCTTGAAGTGGGTCACGTGACACTTGTGCGACGCGTCACGTGACGTCTGTCTGAAAAGTTCAAATTTCAGAACTATGAAATCTAGCTGTAAAAACGAGAAAATTTGAATTTTTTAATCGATCGGGATAGAATTAATTTAGTCTATTATTTGAAATATAAATTGTATTTCTAAAACTCAAATTGTTGTTGATAACAAATATTAGACATATGATATTCTCTAACAGAGAAAATAATTTATAATTACATTAGATTTTTTTCGTAAAATTTGCAAACAATTAAGAATATTAATATATATTATATAAATACATTATTTCTAACCTAGTTATGTTAATAAACTATCAAAGTTATGTTAATAAAAAATAATTTTTTATTTAAAAAAACTGTTAAATAAATTTTCTAATTTTGGAACAATATATATATTATATATACATATATTGGAATTACGCGCACATTTTATAAATAATAATCTTATTAGAAATTATAAATATATTATATATCAAATCAAAGCAATATTAGCACAATTATAGAATATATATAGAAATTCTCCATTAATTAATGTTTTATTGAACACATCGATTCATATATACTGCGATTTCGCTGCCGGATATCGCGAGAACACCATTTTGGTAATCCATCTATAAAATGAAAAGCTAGATTAGAAATACTATTATAATATTAGTATTAGATATCATAAACCTATAAGTACATATTAAAGATTTTATCGGAAACTTTTAATATTTCATGGAAAATTACAAAATCTGATTACAAGATGTAATTGTAAATAATTTCACATTTCACGCAAAATAATTTACAGTGACTTTTTTTCTTGATATAATACTTGATATTTTTTATATAATGCGTAATACTCACTCTTGCAATTTCTCCAAAAGATGAACGTAAAGTAGTCATAAGTTTTGGTGGATCCGTAGGACTCCAGATTTTGACACTACCATCTGTAGAACTAGTTATTAGATTTCCGCGCGTTAGATGCACTCCCGTTATCCCTTTCGTATGTCCAGTAGAGTAAGAATTCACTAATTCGAAATCCTTTTTCGGATTTAATACATGTAGTTTGGCAATGCTGTCTCCAATGCATACACAATCTCGTTGCATGTTCATGCACATGGGAAATGCTTCGCCTGGAATCTACAAAATGTCTGTGATATCATATATGGTTTTTTTCTCGACGTTGTTAAAAGACATAAGTGAAATATTACTGTGATAAATTTCATGATTTGTCCGGCTCTCTGATCATAAACAGACACCGTCTTATCCTCACTGGCAGATAAAATGTATTCTGAATTCATTGCCAGTTTAATAACAGCTCCTCCGTGCGGTCGGTATTGCTTGATTGGTTTATCTCCCGATCTCGAATCGAAAATAAACACGGTCCTCAAATACGAACCAGTCGCGAAAAGAGCCTGTTCTGGACACGACGACATACACAGCAGCGCACCTGCATTCCTGAAAGATTTTTTTTTGTTAGCAAATTATTTGTACAAAATAGTGTAAATAGTAAGAACTTTATAATTGCACTTTTTTCTTCTTTAATAAACAGATTGCAGTATTTATATTTAAATAATTTGAGAATTATTCATTCAGTTCTTTTTTAAAAGATCAAAAAAAATATTTTGTTGTTGCGTACATCTTGTAAGTTTTCTGATGCACAAAATTAGTGTCGGTAAGCATCCATGATTTCACAGTTTGATCCCAACTACAACTATAAATAGTGTTATCTATTGTTGTCACATCCCAAATCCATCCATTATGCGCAGAGCCCATGTCAGTAACTCTGTATTTCCAACCTTCACGAAAATTACAGTAAATCAGAGAACGATCTCTCGCACCAGCAATATAAGCAGTGCCATCCTATACAGTAGATATATTATTTATCATTTTTATTTTTATAAAGAATAAATATTTAAATAATATACTTACATGCATCAGTAGTAGAGCATCTACTGTGCTACCACATCCATGTGAATTTATCTTCTTCATAGAACATTCTTTCAATCCCCATATAGTTCTTTGCTTTTCAATCGCAACGCATGACAGTTTCCAAAACAGTTTGTCAGGCTTCGCTGAAATTATATATATCATTTTTAATATAAAATTGATGTAAAATAATGATATAAGATACAGTGTTTGATATTTTTATATAATGACTAATCATGCAAAATATAATTTGAACTAACCAGGACGCAAAAGCGGGTAGCTAGCATCTGGCCACATACGATTAATACGCGCTTTCCATAACGAGTCATCCTTTAAAATCAAATAGAACTGTTTGCATACTAGGCTCAAACTGTGCACTAACGTCGATGCCTTTAAGAAGGAGCATATATGCAGGAATATCTGAAATGCAACACAGATAAATTAAATTATATATGAATAAATTAGTCTGTTTATTATTTGGAAAAATAAATAAAATAAAATAAAATAAATACTCGAGAGAGAAAAGAAAAGTGAGAAGGGATCACATCGCTTACTTTGACACTTCACTACATCGATTAAAAGCAATCAATGGAGCAAAATGACAGTAACAACAAAGGACGAATGTGGGTGGAAGAAATAAAACTGACAGTTTTCTGTACAAACCTCGACTGGGAGATCCAACAATGACACTTGTGCATCTTCCTCGCTGTACGCACAATCTGCGTTTTCATCATCCATTTTTCCTCGCCTCGTGCAAATCTGAATATTCTCATTCGATCTGCTCGAAAATAACGCGAGGACTCAACAAAGAAAGATTCAGTCAGTGATGTCAAACGAAGTAGTCGATGCGAATTTCTTGTGTACACTTACACAGCTATCAACAGCTGTGCTGTAAATATATACATACATATATAAGCACATCACTGTGCATCACGCATGAATGCAGAGCTACGCCATCTACTTATATAGGGTGTTGCGAAAAAATACATATATGAATTAGGATGTCTGAAGCAATCTGTAATTTCTCTTCGAAGAAATTTAATTAATTTGGTTTGAAAAATTGATTATAAAATATTTAATATTCAGAACTTTTAAGCCAATTAAAGAATTCGCAGAAATATGTTTTATTCGGAAATAATAATTATATATCTATATAATTTGTAAAATTATAATAAAAATATATCAGAAATTCTTTTTATTGAAATTTATAATAAATATCTACATCTGAATATATATATAAACTTTTTCAACAATATTTGTGTCTTCTATTTATAATTGTATTAAAATATATTATGTGTATTTGAGATATATTATTATCACTAAATAAGTAACAATACCCATTTGTTTATGTAAAATTCTATATAAAAACTGAATGCTCTCGCTATTAAAATATTTCGTTGAACATTAACTGTTAAATATACATGTGGATATTTAAAAGCACTTGTAAATGCACATGTACATGTATACATACGAAAGTTTTATATATATATATATATATAAACAGCTGCTCATTTTAATTAAATTTATAATTTTAAATACTTTTTCATCATACGCGAAAAAAATTAACGTGAAAAATATATACATATATTATACTGACATTATTTGTAATATCTCTTCCATATCATTTTTCATTTATACATTGTTTTCAGGCTATTTAAAAATAAAAATATAAGACATTATCATTATCTATTGATATTTTCCTAAAGACACTTTATTTTTTTTGAAGCACTATTGTCTTAATTTCATTATTGCATTTTAATTCGCATATGCAAATTACTTGCATTATCGTTACATATACGAAGCTTTTCGATTATTCTCTTCATCCAGAACAAGAATCATACATCTTGAAAAAATTGGTAAAATTGATTAAAATAAACGAAATAATTGCACCACTCGCCGAACCCGCTTGCATAACTATGCCTATATCGAAAAGTGCCTTCGACGAAGATATATATTTCAAGAGGGACACGATCACGAGCTTTAAATACGAAATAACAGCCGATAGGATAATCCAGGACAACACAATCAATCCTACGCCAATTATCGATCTTTGCAATGGTGGAGCAGGAGATAATAAAGCTATGCATATAACATAGCATCCAGTAATTAAGCATATAAGAGATAAACAATTGATAATTTTTATATTTGACACTATAATCCAGAATGTCAAAAAGCATGCAAGTGGGTTGACGAATTGGCCACAAGTGATAGATAATTGATAAGCAAGGTGACCGTATGGTAGACAAGAATAAGATTGGATACTTGGAAAAAATCCATTGTTAAAGAAACAACAAATTCCAATCAGAATGTACAAATAACTTTTTCTAAGCACACACAAATTATTTGCTTCCTTTAACGAAGAACAATTTGCTTCCTCTTTTTCACTCTTTGGTAATATTTGATCAATGTACCAGATATTAGAACTAATATCAAGCTCGTTGTGTTGCTTATAATCTACTAATTGTATTTTACTTTGTGCAAAAAAGTTAGGATCACGCGAGTTCTTTCTATTTTGTACAAACGAAGAATATTGTAAAATGATAAACGCGATAAGGGACAAAATAAGCACAAGAGTTAGAAAGAGGAAGTAATATTGGCCTGAGAACTTGACTTGGGACGTATCAAGAGAAATTGTTTCCGTTGCATTGCATTCTGAGCGTTCTCCTACCCCTTGTATCAATGCCACTATACTTGGCAGCACACCGCTCAGACCTTCCCCAATGAAGTAGGACACGATATAAATATCATCGAAGTCACGAAGATAAGGCATGAAGAGCACAGAGCTGAAACAACCGACCAGAGCGTTAAAGAATACCGAGACAAGCAAGATCAGGCTGTGTTTCTCACCACCAATGACAGTTGTTTTGTCGTAAAAGAAGATCAGTAGCCCCATAGCGAGAATTTGTAAAGACAGTAAGCACAATATACACAACGATTCGTTCAACTCGCGTTTGTTCTTACGTAGGAAAGTGTATATCGCAGGACCCACATTTGCGGATTGCGCCACTATTACTATGTATGCGGGTAAATTCCAGCCTTCCGGAGCGATATTGACAAGCAACGGCAATTCAATGAATATTCCATTGACGCCAATCCATGTGGACACACCGAACAAGATCACGAGAAGATGGATGACTGCACGGCCACATTTGACATGTCCAAGATAATGGTCGACTTGTAAATTATCTCTCATTGTACATATTTCCGATCTCTTCATTTATTCCTACACAACAGTAAACAATTAGTATTTGATTTTATATATATATATATATATATATATATATATATATAGTTCTGTCAATAATTAAAAGATTTTAATTATTGGTATATACTTTGAATGAAATAAACCGACACTCACACCAATACTGATATTCGAAAATCCAAATTCAAATATGAATTAATAAGCATTAAAATATCACAGATACATGTATCCAATAAGTAATAATAGCGAACTCTGCATAAACTTGTTAAGAGCAGAGTCAGGAGGACATAATAAAAGTAAAAGAATCGTCTCACGCATCTGGTTCTTAATCTGCTCAATAAAATTTATCAGATAAAACTGAGCATGAGTTGTGTAAACATGAAAGGGGATATATTCAAGTTACACACAAGTTAACTTGAACACTGTACGATACATAATCTGCTGCAGATCTAATAAAAGGAAGATTTAACACAGCTGAGTTCAAATACTAAACACTTAAAAATGTAGATAATTATAAATATTATATAAATTATATAAAAGGACGCAAACATTAAATTTGTATACAGAAAAAATCGAGATTGCTTCATTGAATTTTAAATTGTTTTATTACTACCAAATTTTAAATTTTAAATAATCAGAAAAAAGCAAATATAACAAGGAGAAAATTATTACAGAATATAACTCAATATTCTTACATATATATTTTAATGGTGGAATTAATATAATTTAAGATTAATATAAAAATGCATCATTATTTTGACATATTTCTATTTTTATAAAAATAATTTTTTAATATCCTCTTTACTAAATTTTATGTACATATACCATCCAAGTTATATTTGCTCGATATATGTATAATATGTATTTTATTTTGCATATAATTATTGTGATTTTTCAGTTTCTTGTTTATATATAATATATAATTAATTATATATAATATATAATTAATTATATAATTAATAATCACAACAATCTTGCAAATATGTAAAGATTAAAATCATAAAATGCATTAATAAAAAATGCGTTCCCTATTTTCAGGAAAAAAATGTAATAGATTAAAAATTAATTATCTTAATTATTGAATAATATATCTCAATATATATAAATAAAATTTTGAATGAAACTAAAACACGAATTGTAAAATAATTTTCTAACAATATTATCTGTGCAAATAATTGACAAGACTAAGTACAGGCTATGTTAATCTTCCATAAGATGTGCACAAGGTGAATAAGATTGAAATACTTTTGCATAATTAACCAAACAAAATGTGGTGATTGCACCTATCAGAGATCCGATTTGTGTCGCTACACCAGTGTAATAAAGACCTCTTCCAGGATCAGGCCGATAAAAAGTTGTAATGCCCATCTTTACAAATCCTATTAAACCACATAGAGTTATCCATAAAATGACTACCATCAATTCACCCACCCATGAATGTTGAAGAGGAGGATAAGGCGATTTTGCCGCCAAGTATAAAACAAACCCTGAAAGTATTAAAATAATTGCTGTAAGAGTATTAAGGAGTTTAACTGCTGGCGTTTCAATGAAGAATCCTAAAGACATGGCCAATGGACCAGCTATGGAAGCTAATGTAACTGTCAAATGATATGCGAGACTGCCATATGGTAGACAGGAATATGATTGTATACTTGGTAAAGTACCATTGCCGAGAAAACAGACTATGGCTATCATGATTAATAAATAATAGTATATATGTTTCGGAATTTTCCAACCGGAATTAGTTTTGTAACTAGGTGGTGCAGTTGTGTCGGTTGGTAACATTTCCATACTGCTTGGAAGCTTGACTCTTTCTCCAAGTGCTATAGGCAAAAAGTTTAAGCCTAAGAACGACAGAAAACTCAGACATAACAGAGTGCCGATAAAGATGAAAAATATCTGAGAAGAGAATCTTGGGTCTGATTTGGGGATAAACTCTAGATGAGTCGATCCTGGTTTAGTAACATTAACGCACATTTGATTGCTACCAACGCCTTGAATTAGAGCAACTGCGCTGGGTATGAACCCACTCAGTCCTTCCCCGACTAAATAAGATACTAGATAAATCTCACGATAGTTTCTCATGTATGGCATGAAGAGTACAGAGCTTGTACATCCAACGAGAGCTGTCACAAACATCAGTGATAGAAGGGCGGTCGAGTGCTCTTTCCCAAAAATATTTGAAGTATGATTGTACAGCCAACTTAATGCGATGCAGGAACATGTTCCTGCACTCAAGAGGGCATAAATAATATATCTATCGTGTGCCCAAGCAGTATATCTGAAAAAGACATTTATATTAGACTTGTTATTTAATTATTCTAAAATAAAAGAGACTCACTTTATGTACAGGGTGTACAGTATAGGTCCTAAATTGGCGAACTGCACCAACATCACCATGTGCGCAGGCAGGCTCCATTCTTCCGGTGCAGTGTGCACTATAAGTGGTAGCTGTACATATATGCCATTTACACCGATCCAAGCACCCAGGCCGAACATCAACGCGAGGAAATCGACCAGCAATCTCCGATTACTTAATCGTTGAGTCAGCATCTTGCGTTTATTTCAGAGAATGTATTTGTATTCTAAAATTACACAGGTAATGAATGTCTCTTGTCGCTTCTCGAATTATTTACCAGTAAAATCTTTAAAATTTTTGCTGATATTCACCTTTTTTGCAGAAAAATACGATATCAAGCAGATACTAGTTATCGCATTGTCAAGATAATGAAATTTTTGTGGCTTAAATAAAACAACAAAGATTACTTGACATAAAAGCGATGATTATCACTCGGAAAACGTAATCCCTGATAATTGGTTGAAATGTCGCGGTTATTTCGTATATAAACGACAGTTTTTGGCGAATTATATCATTCCTTTCCTTTCCTTGTCACTGCTCTAACCTTGCATGCGGGAATGAATGCCCCATCCCACTCTTCGAATATCCACGTGTGTCCAAGTAAACGATAATCGATTCGATAACGATGGCTCGATTGTATCAGCGATTCTTATCGATGTCTCGAATTTGAATTCAAGAAAAATCACTTTATAGGTTTCGTCATCTATAATTGCGTCATCGGCGAAGATAAGACACGCTATTTATTATTTCTTTTTAATTCACTTGAAATATTTGCAGTTCTGTCAAAACCGGTAACCAATTTTGATATAATTTATTAGAAATATTTAATCTCCCTCCGAACTTCACTTTTATTTATCAAATTCGCAAAGATGAAAAACGTAGAAACGTTCGTCCAAAACTGACGAGTCATAAATGTGCAATATATGCAATTATTTCTGCAACTATAATAATCAATAGAGTTGATGGGGATTACATAAATGCACGTATATCAATTTTACAATTAGATGAATTGCACATGGCGATATCACTTAATTTGCGCCTTTTAATTTGCGCACTTGGTAGTCGAAAGAATTTTAATATTGTTTGCATATATATATATATATATATATATATATATATATATCGCGATTATAGTAGTGCGTGTCCCATCAATTGACGACTGTGAACCGCGATCACGAAATCTCGAATGATCTCTTGCGAGCGCTTGCGTATTGTATGTCAAGTGACTAGCGAAAGAAAGAAGGGGAGCGTGTCCCCTTCCAAAAGCACCTGTTGAATCAGGTCACCCGATATGATGGATGGCTGTGGCTCTTTTGCAACGCGTTTCCTAGTGTATTATCTGCTTTACAAAAAGTAGATAAAAGTTTAACGACTGTAACAAATTATTCTAAAAAAAGAAATAAAAAGTAAAAAGATATTCTATCTACTGAAATAACTTTTTCGCACTCTTTTTTCTACGTAAAATATTTAAAATGTGACATTTAAATTTTTTAAAAAATATTTAAATATTATGGACTATCTACACAGAAAGATATATCAATTAATATTAATATTAAATAACATTTCATATTATCGTGTTTAACAAAAAATATATACATATTTTTCTCTATTAAAAATTAGATCGTGCAATCTGTTGATTAATTATTATATTAATAGGGAGGATTAAATCTGGATAATGGGACGATATTATACAAATTGAATACAATAAATTGAATATAGCAAGAACTTTATAAAAGACGAGGCAGACTCACAGATGGTTTAAGTACATTAGTATTTGTCTCAAAACTCTTGAGAAATGTGTTTTGCGTTCACATCTTTTGTTTTTTTTCTGTTTTTTTTTTAATCATTTTTAATAGAATCACACACGGATGAAAAAAGGTCGCAGAAAATGTGCTCTTGCATTGTGCTTGAAAGTTATACGGATATATATAACATTAATTTAAAGGAGAGTCCTCGTTTTTTTGGATGACAGGTGGAAAAAGGAAACGCCGAACTATATTTGACATAAGCTTCCTCGTATTGCGCCATAGTATCGTCGCCTACTTTTTTTCTTTTTTTTCCTTTTTTAATCTGTAGATAATGAATATACGTAAATTATAAAGCGGAATCCTTATCACGACATTTCGCGGAAACAAAGATCGCGTTGTTATGTTATTTTTGTTCCGCTTTTGACGTTCGACAATATTTCTTCCTTTCTTCATGAGCAACTATAGATAATATATATTGTGTGCACGCTCGATATCAAATGTATGTACATGTAGTATACAAATATACGTACGTGTCATTTATCATATGTATATTGTATATATGCATATATATGTATATGTACACGGCTCTCTCGTTTAATCATATTCTCTATTCGCAATTTCGTGCGGCGCACGTCTACCTTGACCCTCGATTAATCGATTTGTGTGTTCTACAGATTCGCCAGATTAAGAATACCGATGGAAAAAACCGCGATAAAATCTTATTTTTTAAGTATTTCGAAACGATTATTTGTCAAGTATGAAATCATCGATAAGTGCACAAATTATCGATTATATAATGTAATAAAATAATCGCGATCACTTTCACGATTCAATTACTATAGGCGGCTTCATCATTTTTTTGAATCGGCTGCGACACAATGGCGCGACGATGTACACATCGAAAAATCGTATATACACATATATTATAACGTGTGTGAACGAATATAGTATCGGCAAGTAAACGAGCACGATGAATGTAGAATAAAACGCACGCGAGAAAGATCGATTTCTTTGTACATACAAACTAACAAGCGCGACTGCGCGACTGTCGCTATATTACTAGAGCATTTTTAAAATTATTTTCTGAATATATATGTATATATATATGTATATGATATACACATACATATGTACACGTATATATAAATTTGTTCGCCGGGGCTGTTTCGTCTGGCAATGAGTTTTCTCTTGCTAATCTTCAAACAAATCAGTTTACAAATGAATTAATTATGATCGGTAATATAAATTTATCAAAAAATTAAAAATTTGATTCAAAACCAACTTGATAATGGTATAAATTTCTGACGTTACAGAAAAATAAATATTTTTCTACATTTTGTATTGTAAGCAAAAATAATATTGAATGTTAAAGATAATTTATTAAAGATTATACAATTTGATATTTTGTTTATCGATTATATTTTATTTTTAATTCGAATTTTTTCAATGCTTTTTCTCCGAGCATCAAACATACGTTTCTCGTTCGATATTTGATTACATAATCGGCTAAAAGGATAACTTCGTTGCGTGTTCTCGCGAGAGTGAATTTAATTGACTGAATTGTTGAATCGTGACGGCTATACGAGAAGTTTCATTTACAAATTCGTGATCGTATATCTATGCCACTTATCACGAATGTCTATATCAAGTAGTTTGATTCAATTCTCAAAATATTTATCATAAAAAAATGATTGACGAAACTTGTTATTTAGTAACGTCAAAGTTGACGTAAAAAACCTATTAACACACGAATAAACGCAATAAAAAAAATAAGCAAGGTTCACGAAATTTGATATTAGAATTTCTATGCGTCATATAAATCCTTGCTATACAAGAAAAACATTTTTCAATTAAATTTGTTTCAAATGTTATATATCATACATCACTTCTTCATCACTTTTTCCAATACATTGATTTTTAATAATTCGATAATCGCTGTCAGTTTGACGCGATTTTTCTGACACAAGGCAGAATTTCTACTCAAAACGAAAGGGGACGAAAATCCGCGCCGGCGAACAAACTTTCCATCTTCATCATCGCGATGAAGAGATTAGGTGCGATTGTCAGAGCTGTTGCTGCTGTTGCTGCTGCTGCTATAGGTATATACGCTTGTCACCAGCGCGTGTTCGAGTAGAAAGTTTTTCGGGTGGAAAGGAGCGTTTTTCTCGAAGCGTCCATTCCCAGCCGAGGGATGCTGAGGAAATCTTGTCGCTAAGACGCGGGCAGGACTGATATAATCCCGATGAAATTGACTGCAGTACTAGGACACGGATTGTGCGCGATGTGGGCGTATTGTTACGAGCTACTATTGCGAGCCTGGTCCTTTCGCAGCATCTTTTGTTAATATATCTTCTCGACAAAATCGTTTACAATGTCGTCGTATAGTACTACGCATCAGACTGCTAATACTTTCGACTGCACAATCAGATATTTTGCCATTATCGTCGTCAGGATTAACCGGAGCATATTTTAATATGTAACACATGAATAACTCTCTCGTATCGTGAAAATTTTAATTAATAACACAAGGATTAAAATGTACAAAAATGTGAAACAAATTAATGATTACAAGAAGAACTGATTGGTGAGAAAGGAATAAAAATTTCCTAAGTTTTGCTCCGGTATTGATCGCAAACTAACATTAAAACACTAAATTCCATCGATCGTTGAAATTGATCAGGACGTCAAATACCTTCCATCTTAAAAATACATTTTGTTTCTCTATTAAAAATCAGGCAATCTAACACGGGAGGATTTTTTTTTTGCAAAAAAAACAAGCGAGAATAACAATGCGCCAATCGAGAATTTCAGCCTTTTAAACTTTGATTTTGAAACTGACACGTAAATGTGCCGCCGGCGATTCCGGTGTCAACAGTTTCTCCTGATAAATTGACGTTTGCTGCAGGTGCCGTACGGATGAGAGACGAGATTCTAGATGTGGGCGACGTGCCACCTAAGGGCACACACATGCACGCATACACATTACGCAGGACAGTTTCGGTTGTCCATATTAAATGTGTGTTTGCGCGCGGAATATTTCGGCGTATATTGTATCGATCAAATGTTACCTGTCGGTGTCGCAGATACACATGTGCGGATCTGTGCATGAAGATGCAATGGCATATAGCTATAGTATATGTATATTTTCGCTAACGTACGGCGCTCGTATGTATATGAGAAAATATCGTCGCGGTGAGGCGAGGCGAAAATTATTGCATCATTTTAGCACGGGGTAAAGTAAGATGAAAACGCCGACGTAAAATTATATAATTACACCGAATGAAATATTGTTCTATGTATAAGAGAATTGTTAATATATCGCAATCTGAGAAAATACGAATATCGCATTTGAGAAAAAACACGTTCGAATAAAAAATTTAAACTACGATAGATATACATACATATATATGTGTGTGTGTTATATATTTTTTTATAATATAAAAATTTCAACGGTTTAGATTAGTATTATTGCAAATGTTTTTGTCAACTTGCCAAATACTGCAGATGTTGCAACGGAGTCGAGAGTATTGAGTGACTTAAAAACGTCGTCCGTTGCAGATTCCTTACGAATGCATTTCTGCAGGGTACGCATTGCAGAGACGACATTGAAAAGACGACTCTGAAATTAGCATAACTGCGAAGGAAAAAAAATACTGCAAAATTTTTCATTCTTACTTTACGTCTTCTCGTCTCCTCGCATAATAATTTCTCATCTCGGATAGAATTTTGTCGGCGCGAAAGATACGACACTGCTGATAAATAAGAAGGAAATTATATCGGCGCCAGTTACTCACGTGCACGATTAGGCTGCGGAACGTCGCGAAACATTTACACCGAGATATTGATTCTAAAATACTCGACGGCGGTACGCGACAGATAGGAAATTAGATGAGACACGAGAGTGCGACGCAAATTCGCCGAAAATCTCTTTTAAAATCCTTGCAATAGCGTAAGTAAGAGAGTCTTTGGAAAATAATTAGGCGATTCCATGATCGTCGCAATGACATCAAATTCATGAATATGTAACAGTGGAAGAATGATTCGTTCGCTTTTTTCTTTTTTATCCTGATCATTTAACCTTCCACGAAAGGCGGAATTGCAGGCTGCGTATGACGCCATCGTTTTTCGATTTAAATGTCTTAATAGTCGTGTAATGTTTTATCATGCTGAGACAGATTGATTGATTTCTTTGAAAGATAGTCGAGTAAGAAAGATTTATTTTGTATAATCGTATTTCTGATCCTTGAAGTAAGACACGTTTTCAGAAACTTTGGAATTTTATATTCTTATAATGCACTGTTAAAACTATATTTTTCATAAAGAAAATTAATTTTTATTTAAAGAAAAAAAATTTTGTCGATTTATAAATTAAATTTGTTTCAATTTATACGGAAGAAAATGGACATTATATAATATCGAAGTAGATCTCCAATTATAAAA